AGAGCATTTCACCAACTCGGGGTACCCATAAGGGCATCTCTTATTTTTCCAACTAATCACACACCCCAACTCTTCATTAGCAGGAAGTTCAGCATCCGTCCAGGGGCCTTCACTCTCCCGAACTGACCCAAGAACCCTGAGGACTTTGTCTAACGCAGCCCAGTCCTGCCTCCAAACTCCACAACACAGAGAGGGAGCAGAAACCCCACCTAGCACTGTCGTTTCGGGCCCTGCCACATGGTGTTCCTGCTGAAGACTGACTGTGTGCATCCTGGTGGATGCCTGTCCACCGAGGTGGCGATGCCCCGCTGGGTCAGATCCCGGTATGAACCTGGGGCAGACCCACACTGCTCTTCGCAGTGAGGCTGGAGGCCAGGGACTGGTGTGGTGTTGACGTTTTTCCTAAAATAGCGTGTGATCCTTGACTGAAACACTGATTGAAATCCTGTGTGTCTCCGTCCTCCTCACCCCTGATGTTGAGCTTAAATCACAAACCACCCTTCCCCTGCAAATGAGTCCTCATGGAGCCCTCTGGACCTTCTCCTGCCCTTGGACTTCACTCAGAGCTACTCCACTCTACTCAGAGCTACTCCAGTCTACTCAGAGCTACTCCAGTCCACTCACATTTTTCTAAGTTTCACCACAGGAGCAGGGGCTGGGTCCCTGTGAAAAGACCTGAGGAATTGACACATACCTCCTCAGAGCTCTTCATACCAAGAAGTGGAGCAGTCTTGTTAATGAAAAAGAAATAAAAAATGTATTTATAATACAATACTTTCCCTTGTTCACCTTTATATTTGCACAATAAATCATTCAATTAAGTCCTTCCACAATAACAGAAATCTCCACGTTGACCAAGCTGACCACTGATCCCAGTTTAAAAAACTGTAGTCCAATTACAATTCCTTCAACAACCCAGCAAACACCCACTGGTTTCCGGCTTTGTGTCTGTTTTGTGACAGGCTCTGGGCACAAAATAGTCCACACATCAAGGAAGTCACTGCTCCAAGGTGCTTATGGCGGGGTAGCAAAATCAGGGATGGGGAGGGCAGGTGCCTGGGTAAGTTGCAGAGTAAAGAACTAGAGAGAAGAGAGCCATCAATGGAAGAAATGAAGGGGAAGAGTTGCCTAGACATTAGGAGAACTGGGTTCAAGTTCAAGTTTTTCTTATTCATTGTGTGAGCCTGGGCAAGTCACTCTGATTCTATGAGCCTTGATATCTCCACTCGCAAAGTCCAGAGAAGATAGCCTGCCTGCTGTGAGGATGCAGCAACAGGATGTGCTAGGGAGGTCTGTCCGGGTAATGACTGTGATGGCAGGAGAGAGCCTTGATTACTACCGGGGTATTGAAACAGAGGTCCCTCCCTCAGTCCCTCCCACCCCCTTCTCACTCTCAGCCCCCTCCAGCCGCTGAGCCAAGCTGCCGTCACCAGCCTGCATTTGTGAACACTTCACCAACCACCTGGGCCTGTTTTCCTGTCTGGGAAGGACTGGGCACACGCCAGATGCTCTCTGTGGGTGACCCCCAGGTTCTGCCCTCCAGAACCCATGGGGTACAGCTGGTGGGACCTGAGACAGGTGGGCCCGACTGGCCTTGTCCCTGTCAGCTCATCATGGTGGGGGAGACAATAGCCCAGCCTGTGCAGAGCCTCGTTGTCGAAGCTGAGTGTGTGGTTGTGTGTGTGGACATGCACACGTGGAAAAGTTGGGGGCCTCCATCTGTATTCTCAGCTGCTGGTCTTCAAGGGTCACCGTCCGGAGGCCAGAGCTTGGGCTCTGCGGCCAGACCACCAGGGTTCCACTACTTGCCAGCTGTGTCGCCTTGGGCAAGGCACCTCACCTCTATGATAACAACCCTCTTCATCAGTTCATGGTGGGGGTTAAGTGAGATCACGCACAGCAGTGCCCAGGAAGGATGCAACAAAACTCAGTTACCACTGACCATGCAAAAGCCTGGTCTGGAAGCCCAAGTTCTTGGCCCAGCTTTGCCACTGACTTGCTGTGTGAGTCCCTTCTCTGGCCTCATTCTCCCTATTTGCAAACTGCGAGAAGCACCATTATCACCTCCAGCGCTGTCACTGTCATAGCTACCGCCTCCTAAGCCCCACCATGTGGCTGGTGTTTAAGATGGGTCTGGCATCTCACTCACTTAACCCAATTTACAGATAAGGAAACTGAGGTTTGGGGAGGGACAGGGCTGTGCCCAAGATGACATGGCTATGAAATGTTGAAGCTGGTCTGAAAGGAGCCAGTTCTTCCCCGAGCTGGGCGCTACGCAGAGAGCTGGGGTCCTCTTGGGACCCCGGGCCAATGCTCTCAAACATCACAGCTGTGTCTGGTTGGGAAAGAACCGGGACGGCTGAGAGGGAGAGGGTGGCTTTCTCTTCACGAACGTGCCCAGGTACTGCCATTCCCTGCCCTCCGGGCAGCCAGCATGCTGATTATCCCGTGAGCGCCTCAGGAAATAACAGTCTTTGTGACGGCGCAGTGTCTGTTAGAAATGAGAGGTCTGAGATGATGCCCATTAGCCTGCACGCCCTGGCCCTGGGAGAGTGTCTGGTGAGCATGGCACAGCTTTCCCGCTCACCTGCCAACTTCCCCTTTTCAGAGAGTGGGGGGCTGTGTAAAGAGCCAGGTTGAACCCCAGTTCCTTCCTCATCGTCTCTGTGGCCTGGGGACATGCCTACCCCCAGCTGGGAGCTCGGGTCCTCCTTCCAGCCTGTCCCTGAGGGCCGAGGTCACTAATGAGAAAGTCCTTGGCCAATGGATGAGCTGGCCCTGGGGAAACACCTTCACAACTGCTGGTCAGACAGACCTGGCTCATTTCCAGCTCTTTGCCTGACTCTGTGTGACTTTGGGCAGGTGGCCCAACCTCTCTGAGCCTCAGTGTCTCTCTGTGTGGGATGGGGATAGAAGGACTCTCCTCATCGGGTCCTTGTGAGGACCAAGAGGACATGCGGAGAGCACCCCACGCAGAACCTTCAGGAAGTGGTTGGCTGGAGGCTGGGCCTGGCAGGGCTGCCCTGAGGAGTCCTCAAGTCCCAGAGCTGGAAGGGGCCTGGCAAGAAAGCAAGTCCCCCCACCCCCATGTCCTATGAGTCCCCCGCCTCAGCCTGCCCAGCCCCTGCTCCCTGCTGTTTTTCAGTAGCCGGAGGTTGTTCCCACCCACCCAGCCTGTCTTCTGGTCCCTCTGTGTGGAACGTCCTCCCACGGAGCACTGCCCGACCTGGCTCCTTCACGTCCTTCTCTGACCACAGGCCCTGACCACCTATTGTCACAGTGCACCTGTCCCTCCGCTCCCCCTTGGGCTGACTTTATTTCTGTCGTGGAACCTGTCACCATCTGAAATGGTGGGACGGCTCTGTTCGCTTTCGCCCCTTCACGCCTGATCCCCTCACTCTGGTGCCAGCTCCAGGAGGGCAGTGTCCCCTTGTCCCCCCGCCCCCACCAGAGCCTGCACACAAGCCTTTCATGCGTGTGGATAAGTGAGGCAGCAAGCCTGTGAGTGAGCGGATGAATTTGATGCAATTCCATTCATCCAACCCTACGTGTGTGGCAGTGTTGGGACTTTGGTGGACATTTCCCAGTGTCTTCACTGAGCCGCCCTCCTCAGGGACACGCAGACAGACAGACACGGCCCCTCCCTCCAGGAGCTCGCCATCTGGGCGAAGAACCGGCTCGAAGGCACACAGTGCTGGAAGGGACCGTGTCACTGGGGGTCGGCAGGAACCAGCAGGCAGCCCGCTGAAACCAGGAATCTGAAACGAGTTAAATAAAGGGGCTACTTATTTATAATAAAGTTTTTATTTTTCAATTGAAGTTTACATATACCATTACATTAGTTTCAGGTGTACAACATAGTTTTTACACACACACATATATATAACTTATGAAGTGATGACCCCAATAAGTCTAGTCAGTATCCATAGACACCATACATAGTTATTACATTATTGACCATATTCCCTCTGCTGTACTTTACACCCAGTGACTGACTTTATAACTGGCAGTTTGTACTTCTTAGTCCCTCCCCCTTTTCACCCAACCCCCCTCCCACCTAGCAACCGTCAAAATGTTCTCTGTAACGATGAGTCTGTTTCTGTTTTGATTGTTCATTTATTTTGCTGTTTAGATTCCACGTGTAAGTGAAATCATATTGCATTTGTCTTTCGCTGTCTGACTTACTTCACTTAGCATAATTCCCTCTAGGTCTAACCATATTGTCACAAATGGCAAGATTTCACTTTCTTATGACTGAGTAATATTCCATTGTGTATATGCAATAAAGGGGTTATTTACAAAGGTGCAGAGAAACCAGAGGAGAGTGCAGAAGCTGCGAGTAGCGACAGTGGGTCCTTACTTCATCAGACCTGAAGGGTGAGGAAGGGACACAAGCCAGTCAGAGGACCCCTGGCTCTCCTCCACCCTCCAGTCTCCCAGGGGCACCCTCACTGGCTGAACCCAGAGGGATGCAGACCATGTTGGTCAGGATCCGCAGGGCACGGAGCAGGGTGGAGAGTGACAATGGATCTAGGGGCTCAAATGGAGACAAGCACAGGCATAAACGCTTTCCTCTCTAAGGCTTCTGGGAACAAGACAGGGTTAAAATTACTGGCTTAATTGGTGTGTTAGAGGAGCCCAGAGAAACAACTCATGCTGCCAGGAGGCTCATCAGGTAGGGGAGGGGGAAGGGCATCCAGGCACAGGGAACAGCATGTGCTAATGCGAAGAGGCAGGAGAGAGCATGCCATGACTGGGAGACAGGAACAGGGCTGTTGTGGGGGCTGGGAGGTCTGTTGGGGTGAAGCTAGAAAGGCAGGCTGGGAATTATTTAGATCATCTGGATGGCACCAGCTGCTTCTCTTAGAATGATGGCAGCCCCGTGTCCTTGCTTCAGAACGAAGACACCCACTGGTCCAAGAAGGTCAGGTGACCACTTTCCTGTCAGTGAGGTCTACTGGGACAGCCCCATTGGAAAGGCCCTCGATCTGTCCGCACCACGCGCTGTTGGGAGTAAACCAGCCGGCAGTGAGCCAAACCTGGGTTCCGTCTGTTGCCAAATGGGGGAAGTGACCTTGATCTGTCAATCACCCAATTTCTCCTCTTGGAGGAGGCCCTTCCCCGCACCCACAGGAGCCAGGCCCAGGAGGAATGGGCGCAGCGGGTGTCGGGAGTTGGGCTTGGGAGCGGGCTTCCTGTTGGC